GTCTCATCTAAATGTAACACAATTTTCTCTATCTATTATGATATACTTATTCTCTTCGATCTTAAGAAATCCCACACAACGGTCAATTGTGGCTACATTAATAACACCAGTTTCACCAAAGTTTCGAAAATATAATATATTATTTCCATAAACTTCCAGACTTCTTACCTATTGCACATTTGCAAGCATGGATATTTCACCTTCATATTCATGCATAAAATAAAATAAGACCTGGCCGTAAAATACATGCTCTTCAAGTTCAATTAGCGCCTTTGGTTTATGCGCATTTTTATCGACTAGAAGCTTAGCCTATATAAATCTTGTATTTAGTACACTTATATATGATTTTAGATATAATTATAATAAATTTACATACTGCAATTGAATAATTATTTCGTGAAATGTCTCCTTTACGATTAGCAAGTTGTGAACCGATTACTACTCCATATTTAGTTCGCAATTTTCCATATTTTTGAATTTTATTATTAGTTATCTAAATTTTTTTTATTTATGTTAGTTTTTGAATTTTAAATATACTATATATAAATAGTGTTTTATAATGATCTCATTCTTCTATGCTAAAAAAAAAATAAAATAAAAAACATTACATAATTTAATAAATATTACCTTAATACGGTTAAAAACTAAATCAAATGCAGTTGCATAGTACTGCTTAATTTTTAGAAGTTCGGTTTTTGTTATTTCATGTTCTTTAAATAGTGAATATAACTTTTCTTTATATGTTGGGGTTAAAAACACACTTTGATGACCAAACCCGAGGTTCTTCTAAAAAGATCTCAAGAATTTTTTGATTACATTTAGCAGAATATTGCAGATGTGCAAATTGTGTCCATATTGTTACTTGATTTATTAAGTTCACATATGGATTTTGCTGAGAGTGAACAAGAGGTATTAGCATTCCACATAGTCGCTCCATGGGAAATTGCCATGTTGCCTATGGTGGGCCAGTATCAAAAATTGAGTCTGCAATATGTAGGAGATAATGGAAGCTAATCAGCATTGCTTGAAGGCGTTTAGGCTCTCTTTGGTAAAATTCTCTATATTTTATAATTATATACCAAATTTTATTAATTAATAATTTAAAAAAATTAATTAAAATATAACTTAAAAAGCTAGATTGTATGCTTTAGAAATATGAAATAGTTTTTTTAAAATATAAATTAATAAAAGTTTATATCTTAACTCATAAAAATTCAACCTTGTTAATTATAAAAGATTTAATTAATTTTACCATGCTTTCAAATTACCATGATTATTAATTCACAATATTATTTAAATCGCAAATTTTTATTCACTAATAAAATAATTAAAATCGAATATGTTTTTATTGAGAAATTTTTAACTAATATACTACAAAAAAAAATAGAAGTTTAATATATAATACAGTATAATTAATATACTTACTTACATATAATTTATTATAGTTTTAGTATATAATTACTTTAATTCATTTATATTATTAAATAAAAAAACTGTTCTATTAATTTAAAGCTTTTAAGTTTGTATTTTCGATTTAAGTAGTTTGTAATACTAGAAATTAGCTAATAGCGATAATTTGAAAGCATGATAATATAGCAAAAAAAATCTACAGAAATATAAATATTTAGTTTTATTTAAATATATCGATATGTTTAAACAAAACTAAATATAATTCTTAATAAATAAATAATTTTTTTTTTATTTTTTTATAATTCGGCAGTTATGCATTAGCTTTATTAGACTTTGTACAAGTCCTCTAGAATATGTAAAATTTTACAACTAGGCATTTTAGAAGGTAAGTGATAAACTCTAAACTTGTTAGCAGATAGCGTATAAAAACTATCTCTAAATGACAAGCACCATAGCCCACATTGTTACCTAAATTACAAGTTAAGACTAACCTGGTTACCAACTTGGCACCTATGTTCAACCTGCTATAGCAAGATTTTCCTCCTTCTGGACCCTCCTGAAATTGGATATGACCCGGCTCTCAACAGTGGACCTTGCCGCCCGTCATGACCACCTCTCTCTTCTTTCAGACTTCTTCTATCTAAGCTCGACAACAACAATTAAAACCCTTATTCGTACATAAAAGTGAAAAAAATGAAGCCATGTTTACGAAAGACATAAATATTTTAGGAAAAAAAACATTTCACAGTGGGAAAAAAAAACCTTTCAACAAATTCTAAAATAGTCTAACATAAATGAACAAATATGAAAAAAGCAAAAAAAAAGAAAGGTAGCCATAACACACTATTATAGTCTGTACTAGGCATAATAATAAAAATTATATAATAATTGTAACTAATTACTATATCTCGATTGTAAACTGTCAGTTTAGCTTTGGGACTTGTTCCGGGCACCAACTCAACTCGGGTATCTTCTAAACAGGGGTAACAATCTCTTTCCCGTACCATAGCACTGTATTCGCAAAACAACAAAACACATAGTTGCCTTCTACTGAGTTCATCCTGATTTGGTAGATGTAAACAATGCCGATTTTTTGGAGGGGTAAGCCAAAATACCCACTTTTTGTTAAAAAGTTTTGGTAGAACCAGCACAAAATGACACAGAGAGAAAAATCTCTTGATACCACTTAAAGAAAAGTAAGTTACTAGAAACAACAAAAATAGTCTTCCTTCTAGCCAGAACTGCGCTACTCGTATTTTGTTGGTGAGTGATAAACTCTGAACTTGTTAGCATATAGCGTATGAGAACTATCTCTAAACGACAAGCACCAGGTTTGCAGTGAGTAATAAACTCTAAACCTGTTGGCAGGTAGCATATGAGAACTACTTCTAAACAACAGGTGCTGACTTACTGTCCTTCTTTTTACATCTTATATAGTTTGGCTAGTCAGTTTCTACTGTTTTTGTTAAAAAGTTTTTTTGGCAAAATTTGGTTCAAGTGATCATTGAAAAGAGTGCTTATAAAACATCTAGAAAACTATAAGAAATTTCACAAAAAGCAATTTGCCAAAATTCTAGTAAATAACAAAGTTAGAAATCAAATTTTCATAAAAGTTAGTAATAATATATTTAGAAAGAAAACAGAATAAATATGAAAAATTTATAGACTTTTTAATGTTATTGGTGAGGATAAAATAGTAAGAGTTAGATCTTTTATAGCATTAACAATTTCTAAGTTAAGTAAGAAAAATTTACTTATATAATATAAATAAATCAAAATAATTGGGTTAAAGTCCCATAGCCTAGTAGTCTAGATATCTAACCCTCTATAAACAAGGTCGATAGTTCAATTACAGCTAGTGGTAATTAATTTAATTAATTATTGCTATATCCTTCAGGGGCTTTTGAATGTGGAACTCTGTAGCAATAAAACCATATGAAGTATATATTTGGCCGATAAAGAATTCTTGAAAGGAGTCCTGAGCTATGAAGAAAATTAGGCACTGTGTATAACATGGTTGCAGAAAGTAATACTGCAGAAGGCTATGCATGTGAATTCACAATTGGCAAGATAGCACCAACAACCCTAAGGCGGCATTGAAATCTTTAATTGGGAGGATGGCTATATACAATATATCTAAAAGTAGTGAGAGAAGCAGTGAACATAGTAAGAGGCTGTAGTAAGAGAATGGCTTTACCAAATATGGAACATCTCTGGCACAAGGAAACAAGGAAAACTGATTAAAAGAAATCCCAAAAAGCATAGAAGCAAGCACTCCAGTGGTATGAAAATAAAGTCGGCCAGTGAGTAATATGTCATACAACCTATATGGGAGTCATGGAAGTACAGTCACACTCCCATATAATCACACCTTCAGGACCCAGAAATCTGGTGACTTTATAGAAATGTGACTATATGTAAACTTTTCTATATAATTACTTATATATAAAAAATAAACTATGGTGATTATATAGAAAATGTGCTAGAATAATAAAATTTGTAATAACAGTATTTTGGCAAATGAGCATGTGCCGCTTTGTGGCATGTGTAGCCAATTATTTGCCAAATTACTATATTTGACAATTTATCCAATAATGGTGTTATCCGGCAATTTATAATCATAATTTGTAGAGAGTCGCTTATATTGTAATACATCGTAACACATGAAAAGAATAACAAAGAAATTTTTTCATAATCATATATATTTGCCAGATAAATATACATTATTGGTTTAAGATCAAGACCAGTTCTCATAGATACTATATATGGGCAGCACTACGCTTACACCTCTAGACTAAATATGTGCTATTACACACTTATCAGTGCAAGATATTAATTAGCACATATTTTAACTTATATGTATATCTGTTGTAATTTTCATATTATTAGTACTGTAATAATTAACACCTCGTACTGATAAGCGTATAATGATATAAATTCACGTTTGAATTATAACTTAGGCAAAACTTTATTATTTAAATAAATTTATTAATTTACATCAAACTTAGAATCAATAAATTTGACTTTGAAACAATACAACAATAATATCCATTTATATAAAATAGTGAATTACTACATATGCAAGTCATTTACTTTAAATTAAAACTTCATACAAAGCTAAGCAATTCTTTTTTTTTTTTTTTTAATTTTATTCAGCAAATTTTTTTTTTTTTTAATTTTATTCAGCAAATTTTTTTTTTTTTTAATTTTATTTAGCAAATCTCATTTATAACTAACAAAAGCTTTCTATATTTATATCAGATCTTTGATTTAGATGACTAGACTTAATAGATATGGTTCTAGATTATTATTTTCGTCCATAACTTGAATACAGATTTACATATTATTCCTTCTGATTTTACTGATATTCCTCTTGATTTTACTGATATTTCTCTTTAACTTTACTGATATTCGAGATACTTATTATCTTTTATAGATACTGAGATTACTAAATAAAATTTCAGTCACTATAAATATAATAAACAGTATTATTTACCATATAATAATTCAAATAAAGCCTATCTCAAATAAATTTCCAGAGCCATTATCAAAATAGTGAAAAAGATCGGTTTGCTTTTTTGCTGCATTTTTCAATTTTTCAAAATGATACATTTTTTGTGCAACATATTTAACTCTTCAGGTTTAAACTCATCATCACTTTCTCTTTGTTTTTGAAATTGAATGAGAAGTTGCAGTGCATTTATTGCCTCTGATAAATTCACTAGAGGTGTCAAAGGTACTTCATCTTCTTCAGAATCTGTTGCTACAGGCTCGGGATCAAATGTCCTATAAACCATTCCCAGAATTTTTTCATTATTCATTGCATTTTCTGTTGCAAGAGGTTCATCAACAATTCTGTAATATAATTCGAGATCTTTTGCAAGTTCAGCTACCATTGGGTCTCTGTTAAAAAAATAAACTTTAACAATTTTATAAAGAAAAAATAAAATAAATAAATTTTATTTTAAAAAAAAAACCCCCCGTCATTAGTAAGATCAATAGTCTCGTAATTATCATCATTGGTATCCATAAATTGATCTGGCTCTGATTCATTGCTATTAGTTGTATCCAAAAGTATGCCAGTAGAATTCTAACAGTTTTTGATTATATTATCGCTCACTTCATTCCAGAAACATGTAATAAAATCAATGGCTTGTTTGACATTCAATTTATTTCTATAATTTAATAAATACAGTATAATAAATTAATAAATTATAAAAAAAACATACAATAAAAAAATAATAATAAGTAAGTAAACTTTATTTTCTAAATCACATTGTCTTTCAAACAACTTTAAAATATGCTGAGAATAATGTCGCATATATTTGGATTTAAAGCTTTTGATTATACCTACGTCCATTGGCTGCATATAAGCTGTTGTATTTGGTGGCAAATAATGTATAGTTATATTAGTTAAAGTACTAGTGCTTGAGACTCCTTCTGAGTTTGTAGAGTTTAAAGAAGTGTGTGAAGGCACATTGTCAACAATTAGCAAAATCTTTCACTTTTGACTTTGAAAAATACTATCAATATAGCATAACCAGTTTTTCCATATATTAGATCTCATTATTAGAACGATAAATCACTGGAAGTTGAGAAATATTAATATTTTTAAAACACCGAGGTTTTTCAGATTGCTCAATAACAAGTGAACGAAGTTTATGCGTTCCAGTAGAGTTTGCTGCAAGTAATACCATAACTCGTGCTTTGTCCTATTAAAAAATTAAAATATTATTATAAAATTAAAAAAAATTAATTACAGTATAATAATACTGTGACTTACTAATTTTCTTCCATGTCGACGTCTATCAGAGAGTGTTTGGCTAGAAAGCATACAAAAAAATAAGCCAGTTTCGTCCGCATTATAAATATCATTAGGGTGATAGCAAGATGTAACTTCTTGCAGTTGTAACCGAAACTCTGATAAAGATTCAAGCAGTGCACTTTCAGATTCTCCATGAGTTGTAATATGACGAAGTTGATTTTTTTTTTTAAATTTTGTAATCCAACCAGATGAAAATGATAAATTCTTCTCCTTAATATCAAGTGCGTACGCAAACTCAATTCCTTTTTCTCTTAACAAGTGGTCACTTAAAGGCATATTTGCAGCAACTATTTGTTGTATTCAAGTTCTTATAGCAAGTTCAAGTCTTGAAAATTTAACAGACTTATGATGAAACTGGTTTTCATCTACACTTTCATCTCTTATATTTTTGTATTGTTCACAGTTTTTTAAAACCTTTGATACAGTAGAACGGTTTAACTTTAGGCCTAAATATCTTTTTATAAATTCCTGAGCAATTTCATGATGTTTGGTATTTGGATTTTGCTGAGCATATTCACAAATTTTTTTTCATTGTAAGTTATTTAAATGTCCATGCGTTTTTGTAGCTTCATTGTTTTCTAACATTTTAGACTGTAAGTTTCATTAAACATGAAAAAAATTCACACTATTTATACTGTGACAAAAGTGTGTAACATGTGCACATACATATAGAAACTAAAAAAAGAATGGTGAAGGTGCTGATTTATTACGTTAATTTTTTTTCTAAGAATTATTAATCAAAAAAAAAAGGATAAGTAAAATATTATAATGATAATTTTTTTTTTTTTTTGGTTTTATATACCTTATGTTGGATCCTCCATTTTTATAAACCATAAACCACATACACAAAAATTTAGTGCTATTAACACACTTTCTTAATCAAAATTCTTTTGCATACTGCTATTTAGAACGATGAATATTTATAACTTATTTTAGTCAAAGAAGAATTATGGAACTAATGCAAGTTTATTATTGTTCTTAATATCATTTATTTAACTTGAACATTAATTACTAATCTAGTTTCAATTTAGAATAATCAACAGATACTGTACTTGAAATAACCGGTTTCACATTGACTATAAATTAACTATCATATGTACATATCAGGTATGTGTGTATGTCATATATATGTGTGTATGTATGTACATACATTGTGAGCGGCTTCCCAGTGGTCGCAAGTCATATATTTTCTTTTTTTTTTTATTTCTATTATATTTTAGTATTGTGGATATGTTATTAGTGTTATTAATTAGTATTAAGTGTGGGAAAAAGTAGGAAAGATTGAATTTGCTAAAATTAGGTTCTTATAGAAAAGATACGATTTGTATCTACCGCTAGATGCAAACTGTCTCTAGATACAATTTGTATCCATCCAAGCTGATTCGAATTTGTTTCCTCTTCTAGATACAATTTGTACTGTGTTAAAGTAAGGTAGTAGAAATTAGTAAAGTACAGCCACTATGTGTGTAGCAAAAGTCAAATGTATACAAAACCTATCTTTTCGCTCTAATAAAAAATAACTCACTTGAGTTCTTAATTTTGAAGTCTTGATAGTAGAAGTTGTTCTTTGATAAACATTTTCCATTCCACATAAAATCATTCGTAATAAATCTTCTTTTCGTAATTCTCTTGTCTCTGTGATATTGTCGTATTTCATATTAGAGAGAAAGAAAAAATATCAATTAGTAATTAAATCTCTTTTATAAGAAATAAATTAAACTCTGATCGAGTGTCGTCATAATTACCATTGTTTGACAATTATATTTGATAATCAGACTTATCGAGACCCATGACACATAACCCCGATACGAAGAATACATCAAAAATAAGTGAAAGATCAATAATTAGCATTATACTTATACAACAGAACTTGAGTAATGCTTATAAAGAAGCAAAAGAAGACTTATTTGAATCTAGTCAATAAATCAAAAGATCCGAAAGATCTTGAACCTCAGACCAAGTCTTTCTACGCCTCTTCCAAAGCCTACCAACTCAAGATTTTAGGAGTCTTGGGGTTGAAGAATAGTTTGATTAGTAGTTTAGTTAATTGGTTTAGTAGATTTTAGACGTAGAGCCACTAGAAACCACACTCACAACGTACGTACGTATGTACATATAATGTAGAAAATTCAAAAACCTTAATTACTTCGCATAAAACAAAGGTCTACTAATATTTATTAAGACCAATTATTATAGTCAATGCCCCGTAACAAAACTAGTAGTCTAGAATTCTAGAGTGAAAAGAGCAAAAAGAGTAATTAGTAAAAATTAAAAAACAGTAAAAATAAAAAATTAAAGTAATTTTATAGAAAGCTATTATTATTTAAATATTTTTAAAATTTTAAAATTGTAATTATATAAAAATTGTAACTTTATA